CAAGAGAATTGGAATCCCTCATGCCTTTAACTTTTCATCAAACTAGGGAAAGTGAATTTCATCCAAGAATGAATGGAATTTAATTCTCTTGTTGGAGGGAATTGAAATTTGACCATACTACCCTCATCAATCTTTTGGTAACTTATTCATATATCGAATAAAAATATTTTTTATTATTTCAGGTTGGGTCGGGTTTCTAATTCATATATTCGGGTCGGGTCGGGTGAAACTTTGTTTTGGTCGGGTAAGTTTTTTAAGTGTGATATTCGGGTTGGGTCGAGTTCGGGTTTAGGGTGAAAAATACCCGACCCAAAAATATATATAATTTTACCTTATATATTTAGGAATAATTACAATAATTCCCTCTATATATAATTTTTTCAATTAAGTCACTTTTTTTATTGAATAAAAATAATTTTTTTATTATTTCGGGTCGGGTCGGATTTCTAATTCATATAGTCGGGTCGGGTGAAACTTTATTTTGGTCAGGTCGGGTCGTTTTTTTAAGTGTGATATTCGGGTCGGGTTCGGGTTTAGGGTGAAAAATACCTGACCCAACCTGACCCAAAAAATATATAATTTTACCTTATATATTTATGAATAATTACAATAATACCCCTATATATATTTTTTCCCAATTAAGTCACTGTTTTTATTGAATAAAAATATTTTATTATTATTTCGGGTCAGGTTTCTAATTCATATATTCGGGTCAGGTCGGGTGAAACTTTATTTTGGTCAGGTCAGGTCTCGGATGGAGGTTCCCTTGTTCTCGGGTCAGGTGGACCAAAAACCCGATACAACCCGACCTATGACCATCCCTAATTGAGATGATTTTAACTTATGATGTTTATTAGCATGATTTTTATAATTTATTGAAATGAATAATCAATCAATAAAATTAAAATTTAATTTTTTTAAATTTTTATAATATATTGCTACATGTAATTTATAAAACAAAATAAAATTAAGCAAAAAAACAAGAAGGGCACTCATGTCATTTTACATTACTGAAATCAAATTCATCTGACATGTCTGCGAACCAAACAGAATATGTAATTGGATTTAATTCAATTTCCTGTCAACCAAACAGAATATGGAATTGAATTCCAATTCCTGATAGATTCCAATTCTTCACAGATTACAATTCTCTCATAAACATTCCAGCGAACCAAACGCCACATTAGTGGTCTAGAACCCAACATTTAAAGGAATACGAGGGAACAATGATGAACAATTTAACCAACTTACCAAAATGTACTTACTCAAAACTAAATATATTTAAACTCAAATTAGTTTTAAAGAATCACAATTATCCAAAATTTTAATATTATCAAATCGAATGAACATATTAATTTTTATATAATTAAGAGAGTGAATAGGACTCAAATTATAAATGAGGATTATCAATGAGACAAATGGTCAATAAATACATTTTATTTTATAACAAAAGATATTATATTATATTATATTATATAGAAGGCTTAATAACAAAATAAGTGCTCAAACTATACCGTTTTTTCCAAATAAGTGTCTATACTATTTTTTTGACTCATCCAGGTGTCAACAAATGCTACCCATTTAGGTGCCCGAGTTGTCAACAGTGTTAATTTCCCCCTTAAGTGACACGTGTTACAATCTGGTGATTTTGAAATTTATTTATTAAATAAAATATTAAAAATTTAAGATTAAACAAAGCACTAACTTTTCTTTTATTATAAAACAACCCCAAAATCTCATATCCTAACCTTAATCCGCCACCACTGCCCTTTTCGGCCACGACCACCGTCACCGACATAGTCCTACCATCCTCATACTCATATTTCATCGTAGTTTTCGTCGATTGGTCGTCGAAATCACGTGAGATTACGATTTTCATCCTAGGTTTCGCAGGGTATAAAACATTCGGCCATTGATCGGTCACGATTTCATAGGGAGTTTTGGTCGCCAAGAAAGGGAAGGTCTGGTGGAGCTTCGTCGACAGAAAAAGGTTGCGGCTAACGTGGGTTTGAGTTGAAATGAAAGTTTTTAAAATTTTGGGTTTATATCAAAATTTGAGTTTCTTTTTAAATATATATATATATTTTTAATTTTTTAATTTTAAATAATTTTTTAAAATTTTTATTTAACGGAAACATTAACACTTTTGACGACCCAAACACTTAAATGAGTAACGTTTCTAACACGAATAAAATTTTGCAAGAGTTAAAAACAGTGAATGTTCATTGATGTTTAATTCATGTAAACAATTTTTAATTGCTGCATGTAACTATACTCGTTAAGATCTTAGCTTCCTAAACCAAAACGACCCAAATTTCCACCTTTCCTTCAACATTTTCTCAGCAAAAGGAATCGATGAAACCGCTAAACCAGATACTCACCTCACGTTCGCATTCACAATCATCCAGCAGCTCCGACGATAGAACCAACGCTCAAGATCATCCCTTCTTCATAGCTCCACCACCAGGCGATGCCTCTGGCCGTGAGAACCGCCGTGGGTTCTCAGTTGGACCACCAAAGTTGGCCATACCAGAAGACGGAGGAAACAAAGAAGAGTGAAGTGGAATTTGATGAAGAAGATTGGATATGTCATACGAAGGAGATGATAAAAATGTCATAATTACAGTTGTTATGTAAAAACAAGTTATTAAAATTATACTTACAATTATTATTGTTCTTAATATAGCGAAACATGATATGATATGGTTAATGTTATCTCCATTTTTAGCTTATTTTCTTCAGTTTTAAATATTTATTCTTTTCATGTGTTTCGGTTGCTGTCATTTTTTCCTTTTCTTTTTTCCAGAAACGAAGTTACATTAATGAGGAATGGGCAGCTTTCTTTTTCATAATGAAAACAAGAAAAATAGAGGAAAAATTATAAAATATAATAGGGTAAATTACATGTTTATTCATTGAACTTTATTCTCTCTCCTATTTCACTAACCTTACTTTCAATTTTTTTCAATTTGCTCACTGAACTTTAGACATTAAACTTTGCCGGTCACTAAACTAACGGTGTTATGACGTTGCTATATTAATTGAAAAAAATTAAAAGTACAATGAGTAAAATATGAGAGAGAGTAAAGTGTAGTAAGTAAACATGTAATTTATCTTTTTAATTATAAGTCCTATGTGGCATGTTTTATTATTAAAATAAGCCACATGAGCATCTCGTTACTAAGCAAACGGTCAAGTGATAAAAAAAAGTTTAATATCTAAAATTTAACGAGCAAATAAAAAAATTAAAAGTACGTTGAGTTAAATAGGGAAGAGAGTAAAATTCACTGAGTAAACAGATAATTTACTCAATATAATAAAGTGCTTGTCGGTGGGGTTACCGTGATTTTCTCACGAAAAATGGACAGTCGAATTACAGTGGCCACGGATCAAGGTGAGACTCTTACGTGTAGTTCAAGCCTTAATCAAGACAAATCAAATTCAAATAATAAAAAAATAAATATATTTTGAAATTTAATATTTAAAATTGAGTTTTATCTCATAAAATTATTTAAATTATAATTAAATTTTTAGTAAAATTGGAATAATTTATGAGTACAAGTATCCGTACTCACAAAACATTAAATCATTATTTTATATCCTTTATTTACCTATTAATCAGTAAATTAAATAAACATTCTTTGCAATCCATGCTAATCCATAGAACTAACCTCTTTTCTGGGCATTATAAGTTAATCGCAATGCATTCCTACGATACGTTTGCTTAATTTCCTGACTGACACAAATATTGGTGAGCGTAAACGAAAATATCAAATAATAGATTAATAAAACTTAGGTGGAGAAAGGACTAAAAATGATTACAAAGATTGTTTATTTGAAACAACATAACGTAGATTGGGGATGGGCTGTGGGACACAATAATATATATAAAGATTAGATATTAGTATTATATTTTTGATGAACGAATTAAGTGCTTTATATGGTAAAAGAATTATTGTTATTCCTTGAGGATCCGGGTTCGAGTACCATAGATACTAGGGGTGTGAGCGTTCAATCTTAAAAGGTTGAGAGTTATCGTTGAACATATATTGTCTTGTACTTACCTCAAATTAATAAAAAAATATTATATTTTGATAAAATATGTAAATAATCTATATAAAATATTTTTAACCATTTAGTTATAAATAATTGTTTAATTTAAAAAATATAAATTAATTTTATCATCATTAAAAATTTAACAATAGATAACCTGTCATAATTAAAAAATAAATAAAAATATCTTATCATTCAAATAATATATATATATATATATATTTGAAAGGACAAATGGATTAATATAAAAGTAGAGTATGTAAATGATTACTAAATTATATTCAAATGAAATTTTAATTATTAAAGTTTTAAAAATTATAAAATAATCATTAAATTATTACAAAATAGCTAGTATATATTATAAAATAATGATAAATTTTAATAATGTTTTACCATATTTTGATAAATTTAGTTATAACTATTTTATAATTATTTATAAAATATAATGACTTTTTAAATTTCTAAAACTTTAATAGTTAGAAAATAATTTCTTAAGTACGTGTCCTTATGTCAGTCGCGAATTAGATCTTGTAATCCATCCTGGAGTCTGCCCTACTGGCGGGGCTGCCAAAGTATGTGCGTCTCTATCATCAGACATCACACAGTGAAGGATCAGAAAGACATTCAGACAGGGTAAGTTGGTATAACTCTTGTGGGTGGGGTCCGTGAGGGTTAGATTTAGAGGTGTCAAGCGGAAAGGCTGATGTTGCATTGAGATGTGAATTGGTGAACTAAAACATGGAAACCGAGTTATTACTATAATAAAACCAAGGATTTATTCAGAAGGGCCAAAGCCTTAACATCTGCAGTTAACAGGAACACGATCCCAACAAACGAAAAGCAAACCAACAACAAAGATAAAGATACTGAGGCCATAGTTGTTCAAACATGGAGATTAAAAAACATGAGCAGCAAATGATGTTTTGTCAGATTAAGGATCCAACTCCTCAGATAGCCAGAGCTGTCTTCTTGCATATGGGGCACAGGTTCTTGTAGCCAAGCCATTGCTCAATGCAATTGAAGTGAAAGTCATGTCCGCAGTCCAACTTGCCCATCTCTTCTCCGTTGGCATAGTCCTCCTATAAATTATTCCAAAACATAAAAATCACGGTTACATTTCATTCTTATCATAACTTTATATCGCAATCGTAGATGAATGTTTTGCATTCATCGCAGCAATTAGGGATGTAACGAAATGAAATGATCTTATATGACCTGACAGATACAACATTGTTCAGTGTCGGCAGTAGAACCGGCAGTGATGGGTTGAAATTTGCGTCGCCTCAGAGTGGCTCGAATAGTTGCCTGGGTTAGCCCAGTGCTAACATTCCCTATTCGATTTTCCAGCTCCAGCAGTTGCTAAACCCAAGAAATGATGTTCAGGATTAACAAAATCTGGAATCCATGACATTACATTACATTACAAACATTCGAGATGTTACCTCATAAGACATGTTATCAACATCAAGGCGCATGTCATCATGAGTAGTTTCTAAAGCATACATGGTCTGCAAAAATGTACGACCCATTTCCGTTGCATCCTGCCCAATAATACCCAGTCAGTGCAAAACTTGATATATGGCAGCAATTTTTATAACTAAGGAATAAGCTTAAACCTTACCTCGGTTCGCAAGCCACCAGATCTACGAACAAGTCGCAGGTAACTGCGCATCTGTTATGGCAAAGAAGTGTTTAGTTCCTAAAATAGACTAAATGGAAACAATAATCATGAAGAAAGTAGTGTATTGAGCAAACCTGAGATATCAGTCTTCTTCTCCTTTGCGCATTCATTTGAGATGACATTATACGTGACAGTCGAATGTTATTAGCAGCTTGTTGTCTCTCAGCAGCAATGGCTCCAGGCCTTGGAGAAACCTGAGTCGGCATGTAATTAATATTTCTCACTGAGGCTTCCAAGTCTCGAATAGTATGAGAAGAATCAGTATATGTGGGGTGGTTATGCGCCATCCTCCATGCCTCGGAGCGCTCGAGCATATATTGCAGTCTTTGTATAGTTTGTTCAGCCATACTTGGTTGATGGTACCCCACGGACGACAATGGTGAATTATACATGCCCGAACCGGATTGGATTCCCGAAGAGGCGGCAGCGTTTCCAAGATAGCTTGAGTTCCCATTGACCGATTCATGCTTGGTTGCACATTTCCCGGTTGAATCGTCACAGCTGAACCAAAAGATTGATGACCATGCAATGGCATGGTTGGCCCATTCCAGTATTGGGAAGACAGCGGCGTTTGAAATTGATTATGGGCTCCAACAATATTCTGCTGCTGCTGCTGCTGCAAATGACTAGGGATTCCTACAGTAAGCTGCTGCTGCTGCTGCTGCTGCTGCAACTGATTAGAGACTCCTACACTAGGCTGCGGTTGGTGGTGCAACATGGCAGGATTTGCCGGAGCCGGCCTTATTTGTGAGGAACCAAATGAGGAAACCACTGGTCGTTGACGATGCTGGCCAGTGGCTTGTGCGTTAAAACCGTTGGAGTTCCATGCAGACATGTTTGCATGCCCAGGGTTTTGTTGGCCTAGAAAGGCTCTCAGCCGAGTGTTTCTCTGATAGCTGTCGGTTTGTCCGATCTGTATCGGCGAAGCAGCCACAGGTCGGGCTAAATGACTGCCATTGTTGGAGGAACTAGCTGCAGTTGGGATGTTGAGGACAGCATTTTGGGGTTGTGGAACTTCAGGCGCCCTTCTTTTGCATAAAAGCCTCGACTGACCATTAGTTGGAAGAAGACCCTCTCGATTGATAGTTTCTTCTACAACATACCCAGCACTTCCTGAATGTATCATAATTGGGCTCAAGGAATCACAAGAGGCTAGGATTTGTAGATTACCTGATGCTCTTCCAGTTCTAGAAAGGTCCAATGTTAACGGAAGTGGCTCATTCAAGTCTAGCTGGAGCGGACCAGAACCAAACTCTTGACCTTGACGACCCGATAAAATTGATGGAGCAATGGTCCCATGGTTACCACTGATATGGCCATCATTAGGGCTCATCCCGCTGTTCTCTAGGAGAAACCTTAAGGTCGAGGCTTCCCTGGAGTTACTGCCTTGTCCTTGACTTTGCATTCTGAATTTCTGGCCAACAAATATACGTTCTGCAAATAGAAGAAACGAAATTAACTTGAAAAAATAATTAGAATTCCATGTATAATGTAAATACATTTGCCACAAATGTAAATATTACGAAAGTTTATCACTCAACTTACTCAAAATTAATTGATTTTTTTATTCTCTCTAAAAAAAAAAGCAAATAAAGGTATAAGTTTAACTCTAAAATCAGATCTGAAAGGCTTCGTTTCGTTTGAGAACTCTTTTCCAAACGAACTTTTTCAATGCAGAACATTATTTTTTTCAGCTTCTTGACTTGAGTAAATAATCACGTTTCAAAAGTGATTTTTTTTTTTGCTGAAAATGAATTGTTTGATAATGCTTTTTCATTTCAAATGAAATTTTGAGCCAAAAACACTTTCATTACCATCCTCAAACGGCCCCTTAATTCAATTAAATCATTACACCTACTGATCACTGAAAAATCTTGAACAATAAAAAAATTGAAATTTTACATAAATCTAAATGATACAAAATTAAAAAAATAAACCAACTATGAGAGGGGGGAAACATGGCAATTAAAAAAACATCTCCTTTTGTGATTATTTCTAGAAATTACATCTCAACTTCCTTTGACTTCACATCAATCTTGTAGTTAAAATGAAAAAAAAAATGGATTTTGTGTGTAGGTCACATTAATCCCAAGCAACATAAAAACTAATTAAAATATTTGGGAGTGTGAACAAGAACTAAAGGATGGGGACAAGAAAAATCCAAGAGATTAAAACAAAAACTTTTGAGTAAAAGAAATCAAATCTGAAGAAATGTATAAAAAAACAAGCTTCACCATGAGTCTTGTAACAGTTTGAAAATAATCAAACTAAGAAGAAAACCACAAGACTCCATGAAAATCAAACCTGAATCTAGAACAAACAACTCTAAAGAAAGAGAGAAGGAAGGAAGAGAATAAAGCCTTTAACTACGAAGAACAAAGGAGAGTGTGTATACCAAAAGTAATGAGAAGAGGCAATGAGTTCCATAGGAAAATGGGATAGTATTTATAGGCTCAGAGAGACTTGGTTTCCACTGAAGCTTATCTGTTTGAGCTTCAAATTGGGTGCAACGTGACAGAGTACATAAAGGATTATTTTATTACACTGCGTTGTTATTTTGGGGATATTTAAGCGAATCTGAATTAATTACTAATGAAAGAGATTGCTACTATGGTAGTAAGTAGGTTTTATGGTTATTTGTTGACCAATTGTATTTTTATGTATTTGTTGTTATGTATTTAAAATGGTTTTCATATATGCATGAATCAACTTACCTCGGTGTTTAAAGAAATCGTTGTTTCTAGAAGTCACAAGTTTAATCACCACCGACGACATAGGGTGATTAAGCGTTTATTATCAAAATGGTTAAAAATATTTAGAACATATATTACTTTGTATTTATGTTAGCTTAATAAAAAATGATTTTCATTCGTTTTTATATTTGCACAAGTTAAATCATGTATAATATTACTTCATTTATACATTATTCAAGATTATCTTTAAAATCTAGTAAAAAATGAATTAGATATCCTATTAGCGTTATGTTATTTCATTGTTTAATTTTTCATACATTAATATTTTTATCTTATGTAAACCTTGTGTGAACCTATCTAAATTATTATTATTTTTTTGTATAACTATCTATTTTTGATTTATTGATCGACTAATCCAAATCAATTAATCATGTATGAACCTATCCAGATTATAATTGTAAGACATTGATATTTTCACTATTCATTTACAAAATCACACATATCAACCTCCAAAACATCCAAAACTTAATGCTATTTATCAAATTATTTATCATTACATCAATAATCACTTGATAATCACATACATGTTACATGTAATTGTTTTGTGTGTGTCAAAAGGAATTGAGGACCAAGAAAGAGACAATTGAACTTTAAATTTCATGTTCAGATTAATGAAATTTCATCAATTTCGTAATCCCACCAACTTTTCTTTAAATTGCATTGATTTCAAACATTATAGTATTTGACATTTTATTGTTTTCTTAAAGGTTTTTTATTTTGTTAAACAATATTAAGTATAATGACAAGATATATTACAGTTTTAGACAAAGAATTTGTGTTTAAACTTAATCATGGCATTGTTAGAAAAGATAATCACAAATTAAAATATTGATATTCATGAATGGTAAAACAAACTTGAAGGACACTTTGATAGAACCAAAAAAAAAAAGAAGAAAAAAGAAGTTACACCTACCATTTCTAACGTTTGTTTTGAAAAAAAAAAATCAACCGCCTTTTTTGGTAATATTTCAACGGTTTTTTTCCATAAAAACAAAAATCACGTGTAATTGTCAATAGTTATAAATATATCTAAAAATTATCATTTTCATATTGAGCCTTAAGCGTTATAAAAAAAAACTATACAAAAATACAAACCAACTTACCTCAGTGATTAAAGGAATCATTGTTGTTTCTTGAGGTCACAAGTTCGAGCACTAGCGACTGTAACAGGATGATTGAGCGTTCAATGTCAAATAGTTGAGAGTATTTAGAACAAATACTACTTTATAATCACCTTAGCTTAATCAAAAAAAAAACTACACAAAAGGTAAGGTATCTAATATGGTTACATGAGAAAAAGAAGTAATGAATGAAGTGAGGACGAAAAACTTAATTCATTATACATGTAATGTATCATGCACGGTCTGACCCTTCTGTCATCTCTAATCCTCCTAATTGTAATTTGATAGACCTTTAATTGTAACACCAAAACCTAGATTAAGAAGAACTGGTGGACTCGAAGGTGCCACATTCTGATATTGAAACAATCCAATAATTTTACTTTAGGACTAAAAATATATTTAGATTAAAAATAATAAACAATAATCAATAAGTGACTAAAAATATATTTAGACTAAAACAATGATATTGAAAATGTTAGATATTAACTCAAGTTTTAATTAGAAATTAAGTTATATTTTGTTGTAATTCTATTGGTTGAATATTACTTGATGATTAAATTTATTCAGTTAAAAACTTATGGAATAAGGATTCTTGGTAGTAAAGTATTTAGTTCTATAAATAGAGTGTATATCTTAACATTTAGAATTATTATGAAAGAAAATTACTTTTAAGAGATATAATCATTATGTAGTCTCTATAATTTTTCGAAAGAATTTTGAGATACACCGAGTTTTGATATATATACAAATTTTTTGAGATACATAAGATAACGTGTATTTATACTCTTCGTAATATCTATGTTTGGAATATTATTTTTCTTATCTTTGAGAGTGAGAGTAGACAAGTTGAACCACATTAAATTTCAGCTCTTCTGTATGTCTTATTTTAAGTTGATTTCGTTGTAGTTTTTTTCGTTTCTAAAATCTTAACATGTGGTATCAGAGCTAAGTTGAGTTGTAGGATTTTAAAGAATTTTTTGGCTACGAATTTTGTTAACAATATTATAGACATGGAAGCAAAATTGTGTTGTAATGAGTTTTCGAATGCATGGGAGGAGTTCTCGATCTATCTAGTGCTACATAAACAAATATTACGTGAGAATTAAATTTGTTGAAGACTTGACGGTGAAGTTTTAACGTATTTTTAGCTCACATAAGAATTGAAGTTGTTGAAGATTCAAAGACCAATTTAAATTGGATTTTGTTGTAATTCTACTGATTGATTCAATAAGAATTCTTATGGAATAAACATTCATTGTGATCAAATATTTTGTCCTATAAACAAAGAGTGTGTCATAGTAACATATTAAACTAATTCGACCAGAAATCTAA